ACTGAATTCCCTGATTTTTTTCTTATAATTAAAATATAAACGAAATGAGCGCTTATTAACTATTTTCGTAGATTTATAGGATTTTTCTTAAATTAACAATGTTAATTTTTAATTTTTTCCATCACATATAACTCGTTTCAATAAATATAAAGCATACATACTTTCAAATTTTGAACTATTTAAAAAAACAAAATTATGTGAATTTATACTTTAAATAAATTTCTGATGTCAAGTCCCATGTGGTCTAGTGGTTAGGATTCCTGGCTTTCACCCAGGCGGCCCGGGTTCGATTCCCGGCATGGGAAGATGGGTTCCATGGTGTAATGGTTAGCACTCTGGACTTTGAATCCAGCGATCCGAGTTCAAATCTCGGTGGAACCTACTTTTTGAAAAATTTTATCAAATTTATTAAAATTAATTTATTATAAATTTTTATTTAATTTGTTTTAGTGTAAAATTATTTTTTCCCCCGAGAACTCCATAGTTTATTTTAAGTCTACAAAATATTTTCTATCAGTCGCTAATTGTTTGCCTACTTGCATCAAAATTAAACATTTGTTTGCATTATTAAAGCAGATCGCAGAATTTTTTTTTTTTAAATTTAAGCATACAGGTGGTAGCATACTTTTTCGGTGTTAGAAATTTTAAAATTAAGTACAACGTTAATTTGACTTTTCAAATCTTTTCATTGATTTTTAATTTTCATTTTATCTTCTATTATAGTTTACTAACAATAACTTATGAATTAGAATTGCATTTAATTAGAATGCCAGCACTAATTATTGTGTAACTCAAGGTACCCTAATTGCTGTCCTTCTCTGCTAACTTCATAATTCATGCGTATTCATACGTATATTTTTCTAGTTCATCATGATATAAATAGTATAATAAATAAGAAAAAATATAGTTATTTACATTAATTCCATTTAATGCGTAAAAAGAATATATATAAAAAAAATACATTAAAAAGAAAATCGTGATAAATGAAATTCTTTAATAACATTTAAAAATAAAAGATAACCTATTAAATGTACCTTCTTGATAACCTTTAAATGTGAGCATTATAAAATGTACAGCCCCCTTTTAAGTGAAACCTTTTCCTTGATCAGTTCTTATGTTACAGGGAGTTACATTGTATAACGCTACATTGCATGACAAGATGATTGGAGTGCTAGAGGAATCGAATTTAAAAAAACAAAATTTAAAATTGAATTAATAAATAAAGACTTTTGCATTAAAAAAGGTATAAAGAGCGAAAATTGAATTACATATTGTTAAAATAATATGCGGAATTAGAAAGAGCTTTAAAAAAAATAAAATTTAATGAACCTCGGTTAGGTTTAAACATGTCAGAAATGGGTACTAGTTTAAATCATTAAGTCTTAAAATTTTTGTGAACGTTAAAGATTTTTTTTTACGTTTTAAAATATTTTTATAAGAACAGTAATTTTAAAAAGTTAAATTAGTGTAGTTTCATTTTTATAAAAAAGGGGAGAACGGAAAAAGACATTAAAAAAATGCAACATGTGAAACAGGTTGTATCATTCTTTTAGTGTTAGAAGTTCGTGCATAGGGAATTTTCATAAAAATTTTAATAAAATTAAAAGGTAGGTTAGATTATTTAGATTATAAAGGATTTAGATTATATAGGCTAGATTTTATTATCAATATTTATCATTTTAAACTTTTTGGGCAGAGTGAATGTTTAAACACGCTATTAATTTGAATGAATTAAACACAACGCAATACATCATTTTAAAAATTATTGAATCTCCTGTATTTAGGACAAAAAACTAATTGCGTGAAAATAATAATAGTAATAAATAAGAAAAATTCAAACGAACCTAACAAACTCTGTTTTATACACACAAAAAAAAAGAAAAAAATCAGTAAAAAAATAATAATGTATTATCAACTTTGCGCCTTTTACATATTATTCTACCATCTTTTGCTACCTCAATTTGTAGTTTGAAAATATTTTAATAGATGACGCCAAAGCTTCAGCAAATTGAGTTTGAGGAAATGATTTCGTTATCAAGCTATCATTCTCTTTTCCGTACTTAAGTGTTTAATGCTGCCATCTGTCGACGTCTATATATTTACTGAAAACTAAAAGGGTTTTTTAAAAATCCATATCTTATTATTTGAAACTGAATTCATCATAAATCTTATTCTTATTTATCATAATAAGCAGGGGCGCCAGGATAGGATCTCCCAAACATTCCATTAATCGGCAAATTTAGTTTAGCGAGAATATTAAAAAAAAAAAGAAAAAAAGAATTATGAACAACGCGTCGTATTAGTTCAAATTTCTAAATTATTATGAGTAACTAATTGTAGGGCAAAAAATAGCAAAAGGCGTATTCAATAATGCAATTAAATGAAACACATCAAGACAAAAATATTTGGGTATTAAATAAAACTTCGAAGAAAAGAATGAGAAACTAAACTCGCTCGGAAGGAAACTATAAGAACTTTGTTCCAATAAAAATTACTTCCCCATTAAATTGGTGGGAGACTCTTACAAAATTCCTTCGATTTTATGCGAAAAAAAGAAAAAAAAATTAATTTAAACTTTGAATCATCAATAGCAATTTCAAAATAATTATTTTTATTATATTACTTGCTGGTTTGATTTTATTTATTGAATCATTATTAACTATGATTTATATATAAAGTGGAAAAATTCGAAGTTGAAGAGTCACGTTCTTTCCGTATCTTCTTTTCATTCTCTCTTTAATATCTTCACGTTCGCTTTTTAAATTCAACAAATAAATATTTTTTAAATAAGTTCAGCAATCTTTTTTATAATTTTTTTTTAAGCTTTTAACTTCTGAAACTTTATTTTCATTTTAAAGCACGATTTTCAGAATACCTACTTTACTTTTCTCCGGTATTCGACGAGATTGATTACTATTGTCTTTTGATTCTCAGGGTTGTGAAAAATTTTGCCTTCCTCTTCGCTGAGAATTAATTTATTTCATTTTTTTTATACTTCTTTATCAAATGGTTAGTTATTTATTTTCTCGATTGGCAAGAATAAATATAAAGCATTCCTGCAATAGCCTTTTGTGTCCCAGGTGGTTCATGGATGTTAAGGCTGCATGATTTGAAATAAGTAGCTGATTGTGGCAATATGGACAGCATTACGAATGGGTAGCATTTATTTCCCAGATAAACTAGTACCCATCTATCTGAAGCTAAGTGGGCTTTAAGCCGACACTGAAGATCGAACCCCAGTTCTTCAAAATAGTTCAATGCCTTACTAATCGCACCTTATAACCGTCATTGAACAGCTGACCCAAATTTGGGTTTACGACTACTAGTGTTCAACTCCGTAGCCTTGTAATTTTGAACCCACTCCAGAAGACAAGGAAACTCTTGGATCAAGTATTGGGAGAAATTTACTTCATGGAAGACTTTTTTGATGGAATTAACCCGCACTTGCGTTACAGAAATAGGAAAACCACGAGAACCTCCCACAGATAGTTAGACAGACAGCAATGGGATTCTAACCCATAATCCGTCTACCACTGAGGATATTTCACGTCAGCACTGTGGTCGGTGTAAGCCGGATGCAGAATTCGTATAGACCAGCCATCGCTGAGATTCGAACCAGGTTCACCTCATTGGAAGGCTCTATCCCTTGAGCCATCGCCACTCAATATAATATATCGGAGGGAAAAATTAGCATTTTTTTGAAAATATTGGCAAATGAATTACATATTTACTAATGATTCGGTCAAATTCGGAAATTCCATCGGCAAATTTCAACCTTCCCCAAAACGCACCGCCCCTAATAATAAGTAGGAGTTATTAAAAAAAATTTTTATTTATATTATTTTATAGTAATTTCTGAAGTGAAATCATATTCTGCTCAGACTAATATTATACAAATTTTATAGAAAATAAACCGGAAATTATACTGATCTGCATTGATTGAAAGATGGGAAATTTAGTGGCAGGAAGTCAAATCTCAGTAAATTGCAATACTTTCATGTATAGTGAAGTTTTTATTTTCCCTCATTGCATCTATCTATCTTTCACCTAATAAAAACATTTGCAATGCTATTTTCGAATTTTTTTTTTCATATTTAAGCACAAAAATTTTAAGGAAGATTTCAAATATCATTTAATTATAGCTCAATATGCATTGAGTGAAACTGAGTATATATAAAATGCGTAATATTATTTCCGTGAATCTACACATATATATATATATATATTTCTTTTTACTAAAAGTCTGTTTTTATCCTACGGCAAAAAAAAATCTTTTACTGTTTTCTAATTATAATTTTAGTTTTAAGTGCAAACATTTTAAGAAAAATAATAAATATTATATGATTGAGCTTTAATACACGATGAGATCAAATTAGCAATTTCCAATATTGGAGGGAATATCTTTTATTTAAAAATATATTTTTTTAAGTAACAAATAAATATTACTATTTTCTGATAGTGATTCTATTTTTTTTAAATATTTTTTTCTAAAACTTAATATCTTATTAAAGGCAAAGTATTATCATCTTAGTCAAATTTTTATTTACTCTCTGAGATGAAATCATGATGAGTTTCAATCAAAGAAACAATTCGTGTACATTAAATACAAAAAAAAAATTTTTTTTTCTTTTTTGTAAATAACCATGATTTAATCTGAAAATAATTTTTTAAAAATGTGTACTGTTTGATAAACACATTTTTGCAACTGAAAATTTCTACATTCAATTTAATAATAAATTGTTTTTTTTTTTAAAAAATCTCGGAAGACAAAATCTTCATAAGAAAGATATGTTAAAAATTTTTTTGTTTTATGAACGATAAGAATTTTATACCTTTTAATTCGAAATATTTCCCTTCCTTGAATAATGAAATAAAGAAAATATTATCACACGCTATGACCCAATTTTAAAAAAAATACCTTTCGATTTTATTTTCCCCACCCAGAAGTTTAGAATTGAAACAGCAATATTTTAACAGCCCCTTTGCATACTTCTTTGCGCTCTGTTGAATTTCTTTTTCTCTGAAGAAGTGCGCAAGCTTAACGATTCTAGTGGTTCGTAAAAACGCAGACAACACTCAATTCCATTAAGATTTTGGATAAACATTTCAAACTTTTACCTTACAATTACATTTTACTTGTTATTTTCTAGTTATGCCTGAAGATAAGGAGGAAACTGTTCATAATCTGTTACCCCACGAGGTATGATATCTTTCCTTGATAAATTTATTTATTTTATATAAAACACATTTATAAATATCTTGCCCCTTAACCCTTTGACGCAGAATTTGTACTAAACATATTTCACATATTTTTTTCTTTATTTTGTATTTATTTAAGCCAAAATAAGTGAAAAAATATTGTATTTGGCAGTTTAATAATTTATGGTTATGAGACGCAGAATGTGTCTTTTTCTGCGTTAAAGGTAAAATCTTCCAAATAATAATTTTCCAATTTTGCACTTATTTAAATCTAAGAGAAGCAGTTATCCATTATTGAAATACCTTTAATTTACAAAATCAAATATTGATAAATTTTTGAACATAAAAGACTCGAAATTCCAACTATTTTCTTGGATTTTATATTTTCGTACAAATATAATTCCGATAATCTAACAGGTTTTTTTAGTAATTGTTAGACAGATTTTTATAATTAAAAAATACCAAAATTATAATTTCTCTTTAATTCAAAGCGTCAGAAAACATGCATAAATGGAACAACAGTGTCCCATCTGTATCAAAGGGTTAAACAATCATTGATAACTAATAAAATATTTCAATACTATAATATTTCCAAAATTATACTATATTTGTTTACTTAAAAACAACATTGTTTTAATTTTTATACTTTGTCTGACTTACAAGACTCTATTGTTTCTTTCCTTATTTATTTTTCCAATTTTTTTTTATTTTTATATATAATATATTTGCTAACTTTTTTTCCTAACAATAGTTTATGATTGAAAAAAAGTATATATTCGCGGAATGATTTTTAAGCAAACAGAAATGCAAGATGTTTAACTAAACTTTGTTATTATATCAGTGTATTTTCTTAAACATGTAATTTAAAATTGCAAATAAAGTCAAAAATTGTTCACAATTTACTAAGAGAAATTTAATTTTATTTAAATAAATTATTATTATTTCTCCATCTCTCTTTGATTGTGAGAAAGTTTTTTCTTTTTATTTTATTTATTTATTTATTTTTTGTATTTTTTATTCTCCCAGATGTTAAACTAATCAACTTATAATTGTCATGCATTACTAATACAAAAAACAATATTCAGAAACATAAGAATTCGCTTCTAGCCTATACATCACATGCCCTATAGGCGTTTAAAGAATTATTTAATGAGCATTATAGGAATTAATTTTTATGACATTTCCATCTTCATTGTCATACAAATTTTAAATCAATTTATAGACATTTGATTCTAGTTCATATCTAAAAACAAAGGTTACAATAGTTCTGTACAATGTACTAATAGGGTGGCCCCATTCTGCAACATTTTATATTTAATGGGAAAGAAATAAGAAATAAAATGTTTTAACTAGAAAATAATAACTAAATATTAACACTGCTTTGAAGAATTCCTAAAATTAAAATAACATTAAAATCTATAAAATGCTCAGAAGACTGATGAAAAGATAGTCAGTTTATGTAAAATTTCACAGTGACTGGAATCATCTCAGCATTTTCTTTTGAAAAAAAAAATGTATCGCAAAGGGCAATTTCAATGAAAAAATTTACTGATATGTCTTGCAATTTTTTTCCCTCCATATTTATAAAAATCCGCCTTTCAAAAAGCTTCATTAAAAATGTACTCTCTGACGAATGAGTTACGATAAGTTTGAGACTAAATTCGTCAATCCTTAGCAATTTTAGAAGTCTTCTTTCACTTTTGTGAGCATGAGACAGTAAATATTACTAATATATTTTACAATTATTATCTTCATTTAATAAATGTTCGTAAAAAGTAAATGCTTAATAATTTCAGCAAGTCTTCTGGATAAGTTCAGTTATTATTGTTTTATTTTTCTTTCTTCTGTTATTTTTAGAAAATTTAAAAAAAAACGATTTTTGATTTTTTTTTAATGAAAGTAAAACTTACAAGCAATTATTTCCATCATTTTTGAAAGAAAAAAAATGAAAAATTGCCCCGTACCATTTTTTGACCTTCTCTGCAATTAGTTCACAATATTTTTTAATATAACATTTTGACAAAAAATTGTTTATATGGTCAAATTTACCTAACATTGTTGAGAGGAAAATAGATAATACTTAATAGATTTTCGGAAATAGTTTTGAAATTTTAACTTTGTTTAGTCTAAAACATAAATTTAAATTTTTTTAAAAGAGTAGGCATGAAATTTTTTTCAGTTCTCAGAGGATTCCTGAGAATTTCGAATTCTCAAAAAAAAAAAAGTTTAAAAAATGTAAAGAACTGTAAAAATTTATGATCCAATGAAATACTAAAAACGAAAACTTGAATATGAAAATGCATTTTTGCTCTTAAATGCAATCTTTATGTATACAGATTTTAGGTTAGATTATGCTTTTCATATGCGTTAAGAAAGATACATTTTAAAGATATGTCTTTTACTGTTACTTTACATTCTAAATATATTTATTTTTAAATTTAAAACCTAATTTTTTTAAAATGTAAAATTTTTTTTTATATCTATTTTTTTTTAAATTAATAATACGTCATTTGACCCTCAAAAAGCGAAATTTCCTCCACTGCGACCAAATATTTTTCAATTCAGCTGAAATATAGTGTAAGAAATCTGTGACGAATATCACACCTTTTTATTAACTTAAAATTTCGAAAAAAATAAAATAGTGAATCATGAGATTAATTCTATCTTACAGATTATTATTTATTGTTTCTTTTTAATTATTTGAATTAATAATTGCTTCAATTTACATAAATTGCATGTTCAACGAAAAAGTTGAGTTCCATCTGGAAGTAAACCAGAAGAGCAAGATCTCAAAATAGACTCTTACTTAGCTCTTTTCCCTTCCCTAAATTCAATCCCAAACAAAGATTGCGTCATCATTTTTAACGTTACGTACTTGATCACCTGACTGACAACTGGGGACTTTTCTCAAATAAATGATTTAATTTTTGAAAGATTTTTTGTCTGAAATAATTAGCCTTATTTAGTCTATTTCTCGTACAATATTTTCAAATTCTATAATTATTTTATAGTAGTAATTCAGGTATGAAAAACCTCATCTCGCAATTAAGACCAATAAAAATATTCAATTTTTTTGGAAGAAGAGAAAAAAGTAAATGAGTGAAAGAAAAAATAAATTAAACTCTCCATTCACAAATTTTTATACAGATGAAATGTTTCTAAATTGATTGAACTTACTAGTTTGCTTATCTATATCTGCGATTATAAACTTTTTTTTTCTGTTATGGAACCCTTTTGGTGGTACCCCAATGTAGAGAAAATTGAATAGAAGGTATGAATATACTACCCCCCCCCCCAAAAAAAAGAAGGAGACTACGAATTATTTTGATATTATTTAATGTGAAGAATAATTATTTATGAATTTTTTCTTGGTATTTGCGTACGTGGAAAATTAATAAAATAAGCTGATTTATGGAATTAAAAATAAAAAAAGAAATCCTATAAATCTAATAAAATAATATATAAAATAATAAATCTAAATCTGTGNAAAAAAAGAAGGAGACTACGAATTATTTTGATATTATTTAATGTGAAGAATAATTATTTATGAATTTTTTCTTGGTATTTGCATACGTGGAAAATTAATAAAATAAGCTGATTTATGGAATTCAAAAAAAAAAAAAAAAAAAAAAAATAAAAAAAAAAAAAAANTCCTTTAAATCTAATAAAATAATATATAAAATAATAAATCTAAATCTGTGATTATAAATTTTTTTCGACTATGGAACTCCTTTGGGGCTCTAAAAACAACTCACTACACAAAAAAAACTCTAAAAACAACTCCAAAAAAAAAAANTTAAAAAAAAAAAAAGGAGATTACTAATTATTTTGAAAATACTTAATGTGAAGAATAATTATTTATGAATTTTTTTCTTAGTATTTGCGTATGTAGAAAAAAGAAAAAATTCAAAAAAGGAAAAAATGTTATGAAAGTTCCGAATATTTATGAGAGATATGTATATCTTGAATTTAAATATTTTATTTCGAATTAAAATGCCTCCGTGAGAAATGATGATGATGCATATTATAGATGCATTTTTTTTTTCATAATTATTTCAATATATTGTTCTTTAATTTTTTTTTCTTTGAAAATTTTACTATTTTTTCATAGACATTTTAAATAATTAAAGTTATGAAAACAATTGAAATATTAAATAAATTGTAAATTATTGTTAGAATATAAATATAATTATATCTGGCTAAAAAAAAATCTTTAATTTCTGAAACCGTGGTTCTGTGAAACACTTTTTGGAACCACTGAAATAAATATTTATGTAGTCTTATAAAACTATATTTTTTTAGTTCAATTTTTTGCATTTGCAATTAACCATCAATAAAATATGTAACATAGCTCAAGTGTGAATAATTTCTTTTTACTTTGCTGTTCCTTTTGTTTTACGCCCTCATTTTAAAGAATCGTTGTCGAATCACTTTAATTATCGATAATCAATGTTTTTGTAATTTTTCGTAAATAATAATTCGTAAATTACTTTAAATTTCAATAATAAAGAGAATTTATATCAATTGATTATTTCTGAATCTCTCTTTTCTTCCCTGAAAGAAATTTTTTTCAAAATTCATGGTCTTTTTATATATTAAAATTAACAATTAATAAATGTAAATAGAAGAATAAGAGCAATGAAAAAGTAGAGATATTTTGTCAGAGTTTAGTGGTTTCTGTTGTCTAGTTTGCGGTCTGATTTACGTTCAAAGTCACACCTCCCTTAAATGTAACACTTTTTTTATTGATTTATTTATTTTAAGGAAGGTCAATTATAAAAAAAAATTATTTTTACTTCATTTTAATTTTGTTTTTTCCATACAGAGAGACAATACAAAAGAAAGTCAAATCCTGCTGTGGATTTGGAACTGTTTAGGAGAGATAAGTTGCTTCGATTTTGACCAGTACACCAGAGATGGAGTTGCTTTCTGTAGGTTGGTAAACAATATTACGCGTTGTCTATTGTGGAACACCTAGTATAGTGCGGTTTTCAAGAGAACTCCTAAAGAAACCAGTCTCGCATCGCGGCGGTCACCATGGTTACAAGGAAAGGTCACTTCGAATAGGGGTGTGAGGTGAATAGTTTTGCCTTAATCTCAGCGTAGATCGTCGTGAGTAAACCAATCGACGCTTTCTTTCCTCCATTTCACCCCCATTAGAAATGTGCTCTCGCTTGTTACCATAGCAGCAGACATCCCCATACTTTCTGTCTGGAGGAGCTCTCCGCAAAGCCGCACTATATATTTGTTAATATCATTCCTATTGTAATTTCTTATTGAATACTAATAGATATTTTCTTTTGAGTACTAATNGTAATTTTGTTCTTTCCATACAGAGAGACAATACAAAAGAAAGTCAAATCCTGCTGTGGATTTGGAACTGTTTAGGAGAGATAAGTTGCTTCGATTTTGACCAGTACACCAGAGATGGAGTTGCTTTCTGTAGGTTGGTAAACAATATTATGTGTTGTCTATTGTGGGACATCTAGTATAGTGCGGTTTTCAGGAGAACTCCTCCACACACGTCTCGCGTCGTGGCGGTCACTATGGTTACGAGGAGAGGTCACTTCCAATAGGGGGGAGAGGTGAATAGTTTTGCCTTAATCTTAGCGTAAGTCGTCGTGAGTAAATCAATCGACGCTTTCTTTCCTCCATTTCACCCCCATTAGAAATGTGCTCTCACTTGTTACCATAGCAGCAGACAGCCCCAGACTTTCTGTCTGGAGGAGTTCTCCGCAAACCCGCACTATATATTTGTTAATATCATTCCTATTGTAATTTCTTATTGAATACTAATAGATATTTCCTTTTGACTACTAATAGATATTTTCTTTTGAATACTAATAGATATTTCCTACTGAATACTAATAGATATTTAATATTGAATGCCAATAAATATTTCCTGTTGAATACTATTTTTTTTATTAAAGGTTAATGAATTACATCAAATCAAATTCTATTCCGGGTGAAATCAAATCAGGTGGAAACTTGAAGCAAAAGAGAGAAAATATAGGCAAGTTCCTGAAAGCCTGTCAGAATTACGGAGTTCCCAAAGAGTATCTTTTCGAACCAGATGACTTGCTTTTGCTTCGTAACTTGCCCAAAGTTACAAGGTGCCTTTTCAAGCTAGGAAAACTGGTAAAATATTTTCGCTGTTAGAATAAACGTTCGAATCGTCTTTTTTTCTTTCATATTTATAGAGTGTAATAAAGGTGAACATTATCTTTGGAATTAATCAAAGAACCCTTTTCATAATTCAACACAAATCCACATAAATTAATTCTGAAATAGAAATGTATTTTGCTTAACTGGAATTAGAGCTGCACAATGGGCTATTGGTGACAGTCAGGGAAACATCCCTGAGGTTAATCCGAGCACAAGCCATCACAATTTTGTTCCTCTTCAGAGAGGATGGCTCCCCCCTCTTTTAAAACTCGCCAACCTGCACGTGAAGTCGGCTACTTGACGATAGAACAGTTTAATGACGATCGATACCTCCCACATTCGGTCACTTCGCAGGCTGATCAAAGTGGTCACCCACCTGCTCTCTGATAGCTGCCAGTGATACACTGGGAATCGTGTTCTTACGATTCTTTGACTGCAAAGTCACTGTGGGACAAATTAGTTCTAAGCTGTTGAAAACCAATTTCTTATGAAAAAATTCCCAATTTTTATAAAACTTCTAAAAATCGTTTAAATTTTTTTATTATGAAGTTTTCATTTAGTTTCTTAATCGTATAATTATTAATTATATGTTAAATTATATCATCGTTCGAACAATGTAGTTGATAAAGCTCAGTACATCTTTCGTGAAGTGTTTTCGTAAAGTGAACTTTCCTAACTGTTTTATCTTTTTGCTTAAGCTAAAATGTTTCAGTTTCACAAGATTCAGGCAGGCTTAAAAACTTTTCATAAATATATTGCCCTAAAATGTCCCTGCACTAGGCATAAAAATGTTTTTAGAAGTCCAAGCAATTTAAATAGTTACTAGAAACTAGATTTTCTATGACATTTTTTGAAAAATTATAATTATATATATATATTTTTTTTATACAAGGAAACGCAAATTCTCATAACTGAAACTTCAAAAAAAAAAAGCAGCATTCAAAACTTTTTTTATCAATTTTTTTTTATTGTATTGAAAACAGCAAACCAGCTGCATGTAGTAAGTTTAATAATTAGGTGTTAAATACAGTGTCCAAATGAAAATTTATATTTTATTTTTTATTTCTGCAATTTTTTTCCCGCTAAAAAGAAAGATCTTTAATTATGAAGATAAAGACGGTTTCTGTTTAATGTTTTTTAATGATTTCTCTGTATTAAACTGCATAAATATTGAAAAATTAAAATAAATGACATGATGAGTAAAATTTAATATAGATTTATTTTAAAATTTTTCTGTACAGATCTATCATTTAAAAAAGAGTTTTTTATCTGCAAAATATTTATTAATCATTACTGCTAAAAATCTTAAAATTATTTAGAGTATATACGAAAGATAAAACAAATTATTTAATATTAGTATTTGTATGTTCAGTTCCTAATAATATTTTTAATGGAACTGAAATTGTGAAGAAAAAAATTTTAAAGGTCTGAATACTTTGAAAACTGCTTAAGAGATGGCAGCACAACCTTTTCTGACTATCTCAGGTGGAGAATTTATAAGATGCATTTTTAAATTTGTTTTACAGTATATACTTGCGCCATCTTTGATCTGCTGATTTTACTAAAGTGTTTCAACTTTTGCTCTAATGAATCAGAGCTGCCTGATTTTTTTTTTTCCATTCATATTCAAAAATTTATCAACAATTATTTCGTAAATTAAGGAAATATAAATGATGAATAACTGTTTCTCTTAAATCTTAAAAACTGCAAGTAAGTGAAAGTTTGAAAAATTATTGTTCTGAAGTGAGTTGCGTTTGGAAGATTTTACCTCTAACGCAGAAAAGGAAAACACTGCTTTTTCATATTGTATTTTATACCCATAAATTTTTTAAATGCTAAATATAATATTTTTTACTTATTTCGATCTAAATTAATGCAAAATAATGAAAAAAGTATGAAAAATATACTTAAAAATTATGCGTCAACGGGTTAACATCAATCTATACTTATTTAGTTTAACGTGAGTTAATGGTATATAGTTTAATGAGAGTAATTTTAAAAGATGCTGTTGATGTTTTGACAAAAAAGTTACAAATACATTTTTTTAGCTTCCGTTTTAAAAGCAAAGAAACTGCTAGATATATTCACAAAAATATATTGAGCGTAGTGGTGAATGCGAAATTATGAAAGCAAACATGTTCTCTTAATTTTATCACAATTTCTTTATATTTTAAGAGAACTATACAAACCCTGAAATTTTTGAAAAAAAAAACGAATTTAAGAGGGGGTAACGAAATTAAGAATAAAAATCCGTACGTTAAATGGTAAGTATTTAAAGTACTTAATAAAAGGAAGTTGTACTTACTTTTAAATTAAACTTTCTTAAGCAATCAATTGAAATCTTTTGTTTGAAATTTTTAATATTATAATATGGTCAACAACAAAAAGTAGAGTTTAAAAAAGTACCCAATGCTTAGTCAAGAATTATCATCTTATTTATATTATTTTATATTTTGAAAATATTTTTGATAAATTTAAAAATTATTTTATTTATATTTTAATTTTATATTTAATTTAAATCGTTTTTTTTTTACACAATCTTTAAGTGTTAAAATAAGAATCTAAGAAATTCTTTTTCACATAAATTGCGTGTTTGTCTAAGTATGTTTGAATATTTTGGTTTGTATTTTTCACAAGAAATTGAGCTAGATTTTTACACTATTATTCCGAGGAAGTGATAGATTTTTGGGTCTTGTACTTTAGGGAGTTTTCAGAGAGAAGTTTCGATAGTTTAACTTGTCCCAAAAAAGGTTAAGTAAAAAAAAGGGGGGAGGAGATAAAAAGTTTTCAAATAATTCATGCAAGCACATTATTTTAATAATTCAAGACGCAATAAAAATTTAAAAAATTTGTAACGAGTAGTAAAACTTATTCAGAGATATTAAAAACCGAATGCTCTATCCTATGAGCCACCACTGCCCTTGCTGAACTTATTTAGTTATTTGTAAAAGAATTGCCACGAATAATTAGAATATTTTCTAATTAATTTCATTTTTAAATTTAATTTCCTTTTTAAATTTTTTTTAAAACCGATTGATGTAATTCCTGGTAGTTACGAACATATTCTTCTCTTATTCTTACTTCTCATTGAAATTTGATATTCACAACTCGAGAAGAAGTGAAATTACGCCTAAAAATGTAAATTAAATCGGATTTTATTGGACATCTAAAAACGACGTCACGCAGTGTGTCGATCCTGATTGGTTTCTGCATAGACAAGTGCCACGATTTAGCAATTATGACGTCACTTGCATGTATCCAATTATTGACGAAGTCCATGCTTCAAAATTTAATTACATTTATTTATTTTTCTACTATGCATATAATTTCATGCATTTACGTATCATTCTTTTTTTTTTCAGTCCGAACAGGATAGCTCCTTCAGTGGACCCTATTTAGGTGATGAGCCTTACGAAGCTGCCAACAAGTCTGGCCGCAGAAGAGGAGGATTGCCAGTTGGTGACGATATTTATATCGCTCATGTGAAATTAGAGAATGTCATTAAACAGTTACATACACCACCAAAGAAGATTATCGATTTTTACCGTCCCCTAATTTTTTAAACATTTTATCATGTATATTTTAAGAATTAAAAGCTTATTCTACAAAACTAATTATTCTTACAAACTTATTCTACAAAAACTTATTCTGCACCTCTATTTACGACCACTTTTGGGCTGCACAAATTTTTTTCCATAGGCTTTGTGTTGAAGAAACCTTTTAGGAGAGACCATCATAATCTTTCTCTGTTACTGGCAAAACATCTGTACCAAATGCGGTAATAAGGAAACATTAAAAAATATCAAAACAACAAATTTAACAAACTAATAAGTGGATTAAAATTTATTCAAAATATTTGTTTGAGGCTCTTATTTAGAGATCTCTTTTTGACGATATAACCTCATGTTGCAGTCACAGTGCAAAGACAATGCTATCAATGATTTATTATTAGAATTGAAAGTTAAATTAGAAAAAAAAGTTAGTTTAGAAAAAACAACCCTCTCAAATAAACTAATCTCTTTTCACTTTTTAAAGCTAACTAGTTATTATGACATAAAATTAAATGCAAACTGATTGTTTAATTATTTAAAATAACTTTATCATTCATAATTGGTAAATCTGTTTTTACGCATAATTATATTAGTTGGGATCATTTTTATAGACGTTAAATTTTATTCATCCTTTTCATGACGCCTACAGAAGTGGCATTTCTACAGAAGTGGCATAGGGTTATATGCACTATATAACCCTATCCTATGCATTATATAACCCTATTTTATGCACTTTATGTTTCAATTAAAAATATACATGTAATTGAAAAACAAAATTGTGTTTTCTATTTAATTCAAATCATGCGTAAATTTTGGGTCAACATCTATAAAAAATATAAAAAGAAAGTTCTCAAGCATATTTAGTTATCTGAAGAGCTGCCACTACGGATACTCTAGCTTTACATAACGCTATTTATAAAGTCATGGAAATTCAAATCCACGAAGAAAATTTTTTTTAAATTTTGCCAGTATTTTCTAACAGAAATAGTAAACACTGCATCATTGGATCTGCAACCGATGGCTGCACCTACAGTTCCATAACTGGGTATTCATTATTTATCTAATTTCATTACTCATACAATTATTCATTATAAAGTAAGTCGTTTTTAATCACAAAATGGGAAACGAATTTATTTAAATAGTCAAGACAAATTTGCAGTTTAAGCCGGACAGTTTTTCATGGCTGTATATCCGGCAGGCAGAACAATCAGTTACGAAATTCTCGCTTTCTATAATATTAATAGTGATAGTGAGCAAATAATTAAGTAAGTGCAAATTTTTTTTTCTACGCTTACATTATATTAATTACATTTTTCATTTACTCATTAATTATTTGATTATCCTGGTAGTCAAAATATTTGTGATTCAAGCGTCAAATCGTTAAATTGGCACTGTTTACTTTCGAGTTAAGAGTACAATGAAATATATATGAATTAAAAGTTAATGAAAGTTTTTTTTTTTTAGAAAATTCTGAGATAAAACGACTTTTTAAAAGTAACGGTACTTTAAACTTGTCGTAGAAATACAAAAAAGAGTACTGTTTTTTAAAAGCAAAAAAAATCATCATTGATTTATCTGTTCCGCTTTGACCCACATTTGTGGATTTTTAATTGAAATTTGATTTAAATAATTTTACAATAATAAGTAATCATAAATTTAAAAGAAAAAAATCGTTTTATTTTCAAAAAAGAATAACGAAATTGAAAGTTTACCCTAAGTTATAACATATTGAAAACACGAGCATAATTGACCATCATACATTTTCCATTTGCTTTATAGTAATCCATCAGTGTTCGATTTTCTATCAACTTAAATAAAATCATTAAAACTTTTATAAGAGAAAGGATAAATAAATAAAAAAAGAACGACCGAAATTGAGTGTGACGAATCTGTAATCATCATAGAGGGACTTTTTTTTCGATTTGCCAAGAACCAGCTGTAATAAATTGTGGCTTTACCGAAACTTCATGCTGGCTTGGTCTGGTACTATTCGAAACGTGACTGTGCCATTGACAGAAAAGTAGGCGCAATCGATAATATTAATTCGTTTCTTTCAGAATTACACTGCGTAGGTCTACTCCCTTAAACAATACCTCCATTACATTAATCTTACTGTTAGAAGTTAAATGCAAGGTGGGTAAATTGTTTCATTTCTGCTTTAGATGATTAAGATATTCTCAGAGTTCGTATCTCGTTGTTTTGATTGTTCAATTCTGAGTACTTGATTGTCTGTGTGCAAACATTACCAGATAGAATCTAAGCTATCGTTTCACTTGTTTCAAAAATACAGGTTTTACAACATTTTATATCTAAAGTAGTAGCATTACTTATGTTTTTTATTTAGTTTTTCAAATACCATAAATTTAAATTAAAATGATTTTGAGCTTCATTATGTCTAAATAAATTAAATGTACTCATAAATGCATGATCATATCGTAAAATGCAGGGATGGCAACAGCTCTATTTTCAGCTAAATATTTTATAAGGTGGTAAAGTATTTCCGAATAAGATTTTTGGAATTTTGTTAAATTTTAGAAACTTTTTTTAATTGTTTATGAGGTACTGGTGGAAAAATTTACTCCCTTTCAATTTATAAGATAAAAGTTCAAATTTTTAATCTCAAATTTTGCTACATAAGGGAAAACATTTTTCAAAAAGCGGACCATAATGTTATGGCTAGTGTGTTTAGGCTCTGGCATTTGGTATAATAAGAAAACATTTCTGCCTACAATCGGGTACTTGTACCTCAAGAAAAAGATCACAAATACCCACACTTGTGACCGATGACGTCAGCGCCAGCTTATCGTTTGTAAGCAAAATGGAGTGTCAAAGTGGAGCTAAGCTTCTCCACATGAGTTAGAATGTTAACTAACCTGAAGTTAATTTAATGCATAGCCATGTCAAATTTATTATTTGTTTATATCTTTCATTGTAACCGTGATATATTTTTACTTTATATACCTGGCAACTTCGATACATAATTAATTTGTTTATGTTCTAAATGGCTTCGTGTCTGTCTTTGTGTTAAGAAATATATAGTGAAAGAATTGAAATATTTGGGAAAGAATCTTTGCGAAATGTAGAATGTGTCATTTAAGGGAGTAAATACCTGACGGGCTTGACTTACTCGAAATTGAATGAAAAGAACGGTTGCTAACGTAAACAAATGCCACGTTTCAGCAACAAATCAGGATCGAGAATCCCACACTACGTCTCTTGCAGGTATTCTAATTAACCAACCTATTGTAATTAACCAATAGCGCTCTGAAAAATAGAAAGTTCTCCCCCCCCCATATGCCCAGTTAAAAGATCAGGAAATATAATGGGCTTAATAAGAAATAATAATAAGCTTCATTATTTGATAGAAAAAAATATAAAAACGGATATAACTGCTTCAAAGTTTAACTTTTATTTTTGTTATGCCTACAAAATTATGCAAATACTTCTACACTAACTCTGTGTAAACAGTCTTTTTTCTTCTTCTTTTTTTTCGGCCACAGATATTATGGAAGATTTTACATGGCAAAACTCAGACTTACTACGAACTTTTCGTAGTTTCAGAAAATAATATTTTTGGTGGTAAAAAAGGAAATGTTATGATATTTTAATAAATTTAAATATTTTGGGTGCCCGCTAGGCACCCATGTTTATACTGTTGCTTCAAGCTAAGCATAACAATCTATGAATACTATTATTTGTTAAGATATAAAACTTATATATTTAGTGGTAAACATTCCTGATAAAGGGGTGCCGCTGGCAATTAAAGATGTACGAAGTGGTAGAAGTTCTTTTTTTTACTTTTATTTATTTAATGCATTTAATTTAAAAATCGTAACTACCCCCATGACTAACATTCCAACGTATTCAGGAGTAACGTACGCATAAGCTGCAAGTATACAGAATTCATAAAATGAGCTAAAAATGTAAAGAAAACATGAAAAATAATAAATATTAATGGAAAGAGAAGAAAAAAAGCGACTTAATAATTGACTCTTCTCTTATTCTTACTTCTCANATTTTTTTATTTAAAAAAATTATTAAAAAGCCGGAAAACAAAATAATGAAGAGATATAATCTCTTTATCAATTCACACGATTATATTCGCAAAAAAAGTGCTATATTGATACAATATTAGAAAGCACTCCCTTTTTGCGGATATAATCGTGTGAGATGATGAAGACATAATACCTTTTTATAATTTTGTTTTCCAAATTTTTAATAATGTTCTTAAATATATAAATAAAAGTTTTTTAAATATTTTAAAATTATTTTATTTATCTTTTCATCATTCTTTATTATTTTCTCAACATTTTTAACTTAAATATATATAAGGAATTATTGGAAAAGCTTACAATTAAATTTAAGGGGCAAAATTTTAAATTTTTTATTATTTGCAAAACTTTTAGCCATGTGAAAACACAAATTATAAGTAACCTTTTACTTATCTTTTTAATTGAAATTTTTTTTTTCGTAAGTCTGCATCTCTGCGCAGAATATTTCACTCAAAAAAATATTGAATATTTAAAACTATCATGCTACAGACATTGTATCACTAATATTGTTGAATAGTTTGAATGCTTTAATCCTAATAGAGTACATTGTAATGGAAAACTAGAACACAAAATTTAACCTAAGCTTCAGTATGTGGAAAGTGGCCTTCATTTACCACATCTCCCTTTCTAGTCCTTCAATAGGCCCTTTTCAAATTAGGAAACCTGATTGAAAGATAAAATATAGCCCTGTTGAAAGAGGGGCAGTTAAGATAGTTCCCTATTTTCTGCTAGCCTATTAATCGCTCTGAGTGCCTCGAGAATTCATTAAATAAGGCGCGTGTCAAATGTACAGGGATTGGACTTGGAAAGTAATTACAAAGCAATGAAATAGGGTTCTTTTTCATCTCACAGAAAAGAGATTGAGTTTTTCAATCAGTATTTTACGATAAGATTTATTTTGCTAATTAAGAAATTAAAAGGCATCATCTTTTACATTTCTGTGCTTGTTGAAGAAACAAAGGGTATTTTTAGCTGAAATAAATTTTTCTTTTCAATTATGAGTTAGATTGT